AAGTTACACCTCAAAAAGCGTGTTCTTGAGTGAAGTAAATGTGCTCGGCTGAACCGAGAACATTGTCTTGACCAAATGAAAATTGCACTGCCCTGGTGCAAATGTTCTTGAGAAATCAGGGGTCAAGAACATGCTTTCCTGGGTGTTCTACAAGACGTTTGGCTGTCCCGAGCCCCCCCCCCTTTCCCCCCCGAAACACACCACACAGAGATCAGCTGTGTAGTGTGCAGTGTGCATTATGTAGAGAAACAGGTATATTGCAGTCTTCGACTCCCCGTTCCCCCAGGTCGAGAGGCAGCTGCTCCGTTTACACGTGACAAGGCGCAAGTTGCACCCATGTGAAGCGCTGATAAAAAGAGCCGCCCCGGTGCAGGCAGCAGGCGACCCACCTGGGACCCACCCCCTGCCATTGTCGTCACTGAGTCATCCATCTGCTATCGGATCGGCTACAAATACAGTACAAAACCCGGGCTGATCGATGGCGTCTCTTTCCCCCTCCCTCTCACTTCTCTCTCTCTCTCTCTCTCTCGACCTAAAACACAATCATAACACGACGCCAGCGGCTACCATTCAAAGCCGATCTCTCTCCACCTGAGCCAATACTGACTCGGACGTGAGTGCAAACACTCCCCAATGCCACCGATGCAGGCGACAGCGACGGGAGAGCGGAGAGAAAATTCGAGTGACTCCGCCACGGGACTTTACAACACGGTCGCTCCAGCCTCTCCCCCTTCCCCTTCGCCAACCCGGTTCGCCGGCAATCATCAACCTGACCCTGCTGAATATGTACAGGGTTGCCACTTCGCAGGCGTTCGGGCCTGTCAGCGGCATTTGACAGCATGAGAGATGGCCACTCTCGCGCACTCCTTCGTCCCCCTGATGAGGGTCCGTCTGTCTTCTGGACGCTCTCCATCTCCCCGCGTCCGTCCGTCTCTGTCGGGCTTAAGGTTACGCGGGAGACAAATCGGGGTTGCACTAGGATTCCGACTACAAGAGTATCGCCTAAACTGTCAAGCGCTGTCCAGCGCGTCGCCATCGTGTCACAGACCGTCCAGCGTGCTCGACCTCCTCTCCCCGCCACCTCGGCTAGCCGCCCGCCCGCCCGAGTGCGAGAGAGAAGGATGCACGCGGCGGGGGGAGACAATGTCACTCATACAATGCACCTCCGCTCGCTCGGTGCAACCTGTCATAAATCAGTTACCGGCCGGCCAGCTCGCCTGGCTCGCCAAACGTGGGGTATAGCGGTTTGGTATACCGGTTTAATGCCATTTTCGTTCCAATATTCAGCCTAAACTACCACTCCGATAAGCATGAGTCTGGCGGAAGTACAATCTATAAACTTTCCTCTACTTCCCAGTTTTTTAGTTTTTGAAATTGTCCCACCGGGAAGGCTGCCAGAGGTCGGCAAAGCAAGCTGTGCAAAATGGTCAGAAAAATGCAAACTTTTGGTCCAAATATTGGCCTATTGGGGTACAATCTTGTGGATGTTTTCAAATGGGGAAGTAGGTCTGAAAAAGTACTACAAGACGCAAAAAACCGCAAGTCTGTAGCACACATAGTTTTATGGCAATATTGGAACGAAATTAACATTACCAGCATAGGGCGGCGGAGAGGCGAAATTGTCTCCCGCGTAACCTTAACGTTAAGGTCAGTCCTGCTGCTCCTCCGCGACGTCGTCATCGTCCACCCACCTCTGCGACTGCGCCAGTAGAGCCTCCACAGCACGTAGGCGCCGACCTCCAGGCCCAGCAGCACGACCGTGGTGCCGATCACGGCGCCCACGATGCTCGCCGACGAAAAGCACTCCTCGCCGTCGTCGGCCGCGGCCTCCACGACGGCCAGCCCGCA